GCTGAATTCTCCAAGTCCACGCCCACCTCGGAGGAGGGGTTTCCGGGTTTAGGGTTTAGGGTTTAGGGGTTCAGGGGTTCGGGTTTAGGGTTTGGGGGTTTAGGGGTTTAGGGGTTTAGGGGATTGGGGGTTTAGGGGTTTAGGGGTTTAGGGCTTAGGGGTTTAGGGCTTAGGGGTTTAGGGTTTAGGGTTTGGGGGTTTAGGGTTTAGGGGTTTAGCGTTTCAGGGTTTCAGGGTGTAGGGTTTGGGGTTTAGGGGTTTAGGGGTTTAGGGGTTCAGGGTTTCAGGGTTCAGGGTTTAGGGCTTCCGGGTTCAGGGCTCAGGGCTGACCTTCAAAAGGGTTCACACCGGGTGTTAAGAAAGGCCTCAAAAGGTTCAGAAGCAACGATCTCGATTCATAAGCGGGTTTAGGGTTTAGGGTTTAGGGCATCTCATCCCTTTAAGCTCTTGTCCTGCAGAACCTAAACCATCTCCACGCCCCAAACCCGTGGTGTTTCTGGGCGTTGTCTTTGGGTTTCAGCCGGTACAATATCTGGAGTTTAGAGCTGAGGTTTCAGGGCTTAGGACGTCGTCGAAGGTTCAGTGGCAGCTCTGAGTTGGGTTTAGGGTTTGCAGCTTGTGCTGGACCCCTAAACCCTAAACCCTAACCGGGTAGTTCTGCAGAAACCTTCAGTGGGCTCCTCTTCAATGGTGGCTGAAACCCTAGGCCCTCCATCTACCCTAGACCCTAAACCCTAAACCCTAAAGCCCAAAACCCTAAACCCTAAACCCTAAGCCCTAAACTTAACCCTAAACCCTAAACCCCAAACCCTAAAATCTAAAACCCTAAACCCTCCGAATCCCACAGTTCCTAAACTTACTATTTAACGCCTAGACCCTTGAGGAGTCCAAACCCTGAGCACTGAAACCCTGAACCCTGATTCCTTTAGGGTTTAGGCTTTAAGGCTTTAGGGCTTCATGAGGGTTTAAGGTTTAGGGCTTAGGGCCCAGGGTTTAGGGATTAGGGTTTAGGGTTCAGGTTCATAACTTGAAGCACCTCTGTTCTCCGAGCAGGCTTTTGGTCGTCCTGCCGAGTTTTGGTTTGGGTAATGTAGGGTTTCGGGTTTTGGGGTTTAGGATTTAGGGTTTAGGGTTTAGGATTTAGGGTTTAGGGTTTAGGGTTTAGGGTTATCAACGCCACAGAAAACACAGCTGCCAATAGAAAACCTTCCGAGACCCTGCCTGACTTGACTGAAAACCCCGCCGAAACCCGGCAACATCGCAGGAAAACAACCTGACCCTTCCTTAAACGACTTGCAAGCATCCTAAGCCCTAAAGTCTAAGCCCTGAAGACAGCTACAGATCGAGGTTCCTGACGAGCCCCTTAATAACCAGGGTACCCTGGTTCCTACTGTTTGGGTTCAATAAGGGAACCCAAAACGAAAAAGGGCAAAAGCGCACTATTGGGGAACCTTTGAGATAGAGACCCTAACCCCTAGCCCCTAAACCCGAACAATATCCTAAACCCTAAACCTCTACACCCTAAACCCATGTTATACTAGCCTAAAACCCTAAACCATTTAATAATATCCTAAACCCTAACCCCTTAAACCCTAAACCCTAAACCGACAAACTATCCTAAACCCCTAAGCCCTGGTAACAAAAGAAAGCGCAAGCACAAAAAAAAACTACGTAAACCCTAAACCCTAAACCCATATAATATCCTAAACCCTAAACCCTAAACCCACATAATATCCTAAACCCTAAACCCTAAACCCATACAATATCCTAAACCCTAGACCACCCTAAACCCATATAATATCCTAAACCCTAAACCCTGAACCCATGTAATATCCTAAACCCTAAACCCTATACTATCCCGAACACAGCTACAAAATGAAAAATGAAAAAAAACAAAACAAACCCTAAACCGTAAACCCATGTAATATCCTAAACCCTAAACCCTATACTATCCCGAACACCCTACGTAAACCCTAAACCCCCAACCCATATAATATTTAACAACAAAAAAGCCCGGGGCCGAGGCGTAGTCCTGCAGCCATCCCCGCAAGCTTCGGAGGACCAGGCCAACGAGCATCCCCCTCCTCGGAGATCGGAGAGGCTTGGGGGCCTTGTGGGTTTGGGCCTTTGAGGCTTTGGGGCTTTGGGTTTAAGGGTTTAGGGTTGAGGGTTGAGGGTTTAGGGTTTGGGGTTTGGGGTTGGGGTTGAGGGTTTAGGGTTGAGGGTTTAGGGTTTGAGGTTTAGGGTTCAGGGTGTAGGGTTTAGGGCCTAGGGTTTAGGGTTTAGCGATAGTATATTCTGTGATAGTGCATCATAGCATATCATTGTACAGGAAGTATGATGAATTCCTTTGTTCTCTGGCATACTCTAGTAGGGGCAAGGATTGATCCTACAGATTATAGGGGTTTCTGAAAAAGGGGTTACAAGGGTTTCCTAGAAGGTTAGGGGCGTAGGGCTTTAGGATGTAGGGGTGGAAAGGCTTCGGTTTAAGGGTCTAGGGCTTCTTCTTTGTTCGGCCCTACATGTGTTGGGAAGTCTTCTGGATCTTCTTAGTCCATGTTAACTTCTGCCAGGGTCCGTATCTGATGTTGTACAAACTAATGGACCACTGTGCGAACTTCAGTAGTCCAGCGCCAGATAGGGCCAAAGCCACACCGTTGTGAGAGCGATGTGCTGGGTCCGACACGTGTTCCACCCAAAGCTTTCCCTTATCCCTGAGGTGCACAGAATCATGATCGGGGCTCGGGTACGGCGTGTCTTCTCCTTCTCCAAGTCCGCTCGTTACCCGTTCTGACATCGTCCCAGCGTAGCCTCCGTTACATCATTACTGTATAAAAAGCCCAAAGATAGACAGTTCGAAGCCCAAGCTTGAGTCCATGGTTGATGTCCTGCATGCACTGCAGTGTGGACAGCGTGTGTGACTCGTCCATCGCACCGCCAGAACGAGGAGTTGCTTCGTTGCCCAGAGAAGGGTTCGATCCCTGATTTCCAGCAAAAACTACAACAAGGACACCCGAAACCCTAAACCCGGACGGGTATCCATAAGAGCTGCATCAGGCCTCTATGGGCTCGAACGGTGAAGGCTTCAGGCTTGCTCGTCTTTGGTTGGCGGGATGTTGTTCTGGTTTGGGGTGTAGGGTTTAGAGTTTAGGGCCTAGGGTTTAGGGTTCAGGGTTGAGGGTCTAGGGTGGCTTGTATCAGGGTTCTAGGTGGGCTCCACAAGGGGTCGGCTTCTGTTTTGGGCTCTTAATGGTTCCATGAAGGCCTCAGGTCTGTGTGGGCTGAGGGCTTCAGGTCTTTGGGGTTTAGGGTTTAGGGCCTGGGTTTAGGGTTAGGGCCTAGAGTTTAGGGTTTGGGCCTAGGGTTTAGGCTTTAGGGTGTAGCGCCCAGGGTAAGGGGTTTAGGGTTTAAGGTCTAGGGTTTAGAGTGTAGAGCCTAGGGTTTAGGGCTTAGGGTTTAAGGCCTAGGGTTGAGGGCGTAGGGCCTTGGGTTTAGGGCAAAGTTCAGGGTTAAGGGTTCAGGGCCCAGGGTTTAGGGTTTAGGGTTTTTCTGGGGTTTAGCGTTTAGGGTGTAAACCGTTTTCATGGTCTAAACGCGAATACCAAATGAACGGTATGCCTGATCGTGTCAGAACCTGAACCCTTGGCGCATGAACCCCAAGCCCTGACTTAAACCCTTAGAACTTATATAAAGAGCCCCTTTGTTCAGATGCATTCGGAGGCGGGAAAAGTGGGCCAGGGATTTCTTTTCCCCTTCGAACTGCCATAGCGAAGTTCCGCTGAACAGCAGCAGCGGACCACCCTGCAACACCACCCAGTGCAATTTGTAAGAAACCCTTAGCAAAAGCGTTTCGTACCACTTATTTCAAAAACCCTGACAACATCCATTAGACCCTTGTGAAACCACCATAAAGATTAAAAAATAAAAACGCATAAGACGCTGCAGCACACGTGTGATAAAGCCTTTCCAACCGCTTCTCAGCTCCCCGCTCACTGCGGCACGCACCAGCGGCTCCATAGAGCTAAGTACAAAGAATCGGTTCGGTTCAAAGCTTGGGGTTTAGGCTACAGTTGAGCGCTTTGGGTTTAGGGCTTAGGCTTGAGAGTTTACGGTTTTGGGACTTGGCTGGGGTGTAGGCTACGTACAGCTTAGCTCCGAAGCTCTTAGTCTTGGATGGAAGTTGGCGGCTCAATGTTTCGTCAAAATCCAGGTCCTAGGATGCATTCTGTCTCGGTGCACGCCGTACTCCTGGAGCAACAGGAGCCAAGGCAGAGCCTCTTTTTGGAGCCACAGGATTTCTTTACTCTATTAGCAGTGCAAAACTCGGCAGTGGCTGCAGCAACATTTTCCTCAGGCCAGCTGACTCACCTCTTCGCACTACCGGACCGCTGGTGCGCGTCACAACTTGGGTTTCCGGTTCCTCTTCTCAGACACATAATCCACACGCGCTTCCTCGTCATCCAGGAAAGCCCCTGGTGGATCAGCCAGCCACCTCAGCTAGAAGTCAGCGCTCAGGGGAGCTGAGAGCTGTAACAGCACAGACAGGCAAAAAAACACAACACAAAAACAACAACAACTTCAGCGCCAGCATGCAGGTCAGAATGAAGACAAGCAGCCCAGCATCTCCAAGCACTTTGGACCAGGCAACTGGATCAGCCGAATCTGAAGAGAGCACCTTCTGCAAACAGGCTTCTTGGCGCTTGAGCAAGCTGCGTGTGTTGGCACAGCGCTTCGAATCATGCCGCAGGTACTCTTCCGCCGGCTTTCCCGTCCAGTGCTCCGGAACCGTCGTTTGCAACAGGTTCCTCCGCAAGTGGCCCAAAGCCTGCAGAAAGGCCTCATCCAAGCGTGTAGGTAGGGGCCCGGGCAGCTGGGCCAAGAGCAGCTCGAGGTGATTCGAAGTGAAGGGTGCCCGCTTTTGGCCATCATCGCACTTCACGGCTTTCCGCTTGTTCCAGAACTTGCATAAGACAACGACATCTGCCAGGCCCACGTTTCTGCGAATCGCCTCTCTTACGTGCTCGGCCATAGCACCAGGGTTGTTGTGAAGAAGCTGTCTTTTTACGGAATCCCAAATCCAGTGACCGCCTTGCGGATCTGCAACTGCCGGTATAATGTCGACGGAGATACTGGCACCTTCCTGAAGCGGCAAGTCCGCCTGCAGCCCATAGCGCCCTGGCTTCAGAGATGATTTCTCCGACTGCGCCCCCAACATGTCCTTGAGCCGGCAAAGGTTGTCGGCTGTGGCCTCACCACCAAAGAGCACCACAAAATCTAGGTCGCTGGAAGTTGCAGAACCCCACTCGAAGCCGCCCCAGTCTTCGATGGAGGTTCCTCGTTGAACGGAGCCCTGGGCTAATATACCACGAAACTCTGGGACATCTGCCAGCACCTTCTGCAGGCCGATCTTATGGTGGGCCAGTATGAGCGGTGTGCCTGCTTCAACTTCTAGCTGGATGTCCGGAGCATGTCTGTAGCAGCGATCCGCGGCCTTGTCCTGGCGCACAGCACACAGCAGCCGCAGCAAGGCGTTGTTGAAGCTGTGGGCATAGCGGCCGGGGCGATTTACCTCGAAGTCCACGTTCCATCCTGGAATGTGCAGGCAGAGACGTGTAGGGTTTGGCAGGCTTCGAAGGGATATTCAGGTTTGTTAAGGTCAGAAGCTGCTCCCTCCCGTCACCCGAAAACATAGCCCGAAAAAACATGGGCTATGCTGCCCCCAAACCCTAAACCCTCAACCCTCAAACCCTCAAGCCCTCATTGCTAAACCCTCAATCCCTAAATCCTACAGGCAGGGCACTTCGGTGCGGCTTGTGTCCGTGCTCGTAATCAAGCATGGGCGAACTTCGTGTGTGCTCGACAAAACGTTTGTTGCGCAAATTGTCTGCTCGGTACTGCAAGTCGTACAAGACTCTCTGCTCATCCGGTTGGTCCGTGTGTTTCATCAACACCTCTTCGTCCATTGCCTCGAACTTCTCCCATTCAGAATCTGAAATCACCGCCTGCTTCTCCAGCTTCTGAATTAGTGCCTTTGCTGTGGTCAGCTGCTCCATCTTCGAGCTTGCACGCATCACAGCGCCGATGTCTCGGATACCCCTCATGGTGAGGATGCCAGCAAGGAATCCAACGCTGCACCGGCAGGGCTCTACACTTGAGCCTCGACTGTCACGGGACGTTTCCATCAGCTGCTTTGTTGCCACAATCCCGAACCCTAAGGCAAACCTCATAGAAGAATGCAAGGGCCTTGTATACAAAGCATAGTTCTGGCCCAGATGATGGTATCATGAGACTGCAGCTTGAGACACCAGGGTCACTATGGCTTCGTTGCTGAGTTCCCGGCCCCAGGAACCTGATCTGCAAATCCTCTAAACCCTAAACCTGGTTTAGGGTTTAGGGTTTAGGGGTTAGGGTTTAGGGTTTGGGGTTTAGGGTTTCGGGTTTAGGGTTTAGGGAATATGTAAAGCCACAGGCTTTAAGAAGGTCGCCTCATCAGCCAACAAGAAGGCGACCGACTACTTCTAAGGGAAAGTTGGCCAACAGATCGGCCTTAGGTGGGGGGGCCCTACAGTAACGGGGTCCTGGGGTGTTGAAGATTTATGGGGACGACCGGGGTTCGGTAATACTGTTGATGATATACATCCTGCATTACCTTGCGGACCCTAAACTATGGGAATTGTGGTATATTTCTTACTATGGGTAATGCAGGATTTATATCATCAACCGTAGTGAACATTGAGAACTCTTTTGGAATCACACACACACACAGACCCTCCCAGCTCAGGATGCAGGGCTGCAGGCACGCTGCCTGAAATCCCCAAGCCTAGACCTAGGGTTTAGCGTTTAGGGGTTCAGGGGTGTAGGGTTTAGGGCTTAGGGCTTAGGGCTTAGGGTTTGGGGCCTAGGGTTTAGGGTTTAAAGTTTAGGGGTTTAGGGAGCCCTAAACCCCAAACCCCATGCCCTCAAACCGCTTCAACACCTGCACCTTTAGCCTTCAAGTCGAAGGCCCTGCATGAGGAGGAAGGACCAGGGTCCCAAGGCCCGAAACCCTTAGGGGTTTAGGGGTTT